CTCTGTATCTCTCTGTATATTAGGTGTGGGGACACGGGGGTAACAAACAATGGACATTTGTATTTGTCTGTTTGTTTCATCATCTGTTTTAACCACTCTGGGTGATGAAGTTTCTCATCCTTTGTATCGTGTAATTGCTACAACTTTAAGGGAATATTTAGAACTTGCAAACCCGGTTTCAAGGTGTTGATCATCTAGTTGCTGAAAAAGTGGTTTAGAGGCAGGAAAGATTTTTAGTTTTCTGAAGAAACTAAACCATCTGTAAATTGGCCCACATTTTGCTTGGCGACTTGTTCTAAATGATTCAGATGCATGTATTTGACTTCTAAAATACAAGATAAACAAGCCTCTATTCCTGAGAGAACGATGCCCAATTCCACCATTTGATCTCACCATCAAAGAAAAACTCTCAAAATCTGGTTGTTTCACAAATACACTTAAATGAGTTTCAGAGGTTAGTTTTGTTGTTTTTGTTTGTTGTGCTTTACACTAGCGCAATTAACTGAAGGTAACAGTTATAACTTTAATATATCCGTCTTAGAGGAAATAACTCTTTTTACCTTTTAGAGACCCTTTATGTTAGGCACTGTTTATTTTCGTTTGGACCAGATTGATATGGGCCAAGTGGCATATGGAGGAATGAACTCCAACATAGAATTTTTTTCTCATACTCTAATGTATAATTTCATCTTACATTTGTAAGCAGGGGAATAGCAACCTTTTTAGATGAATCTTATACTCAATAATAGTAATTGATTAGGGATTTTCTAGCAAGTTCAATGACTAATGATGTATCCGAAGTCCTTCGCAGCTTGTGGTGCAAATCTTGCACGAAAACATATAGAAAGAGGAACAGTTTCCAGAGCTCTTTTGTCTGTCCTTCAGCAAGGTTCAATCCTGCTGTAGAATATCTCTAGGTCCTTTAACATTTACATGTTACAGGGATGGAGAGTGAGTGGTAAAGAGCAGTCCCATCTTGCTTTTTTCCTGTCCCATGCTCTATCTACTGCAGAGTGGCTCTGGGGGCTTAGTAGAACGTGGGTCCCAAAGCATGTAAACTTGGAACAGGAGGCTTATGTAGAAAACTCTTGAGGATTGATGCCCACTCTGGAGGGCTAGTCAGTGGAGGGGCTCCAGCCAAAGTGATCAGGGCCCTCGTATGGTACCAACAAAGTATCTGACATTCTGCATTGAGCATTTGAAAGGTTTCTGCCCTAAACATCATTTATTTCATACCCATAGTTGATATAAGAAGAAAAATAGGTGATTTGAAAGACAAAACTAAGAGTCTAGAAGACTAAAAAACTAAAAAAAACCCTAAAACTCTAGAAGAGTTTTAATATTGGTTGAGTTCATTATAACAAGAGCAGTGAAGTCTTAAATATGATACCATATTCTGTAAATATTGCACAAGTAAATTTCCTATAGTAAATATACAACGGGTATACACTATTTCCTTTGCCAATAAGTAAACAAGTATTCCGTTAACCAGGCTAAGGTCTCTGTAAAGATTGAACATCATAGTTAAAGGGAAACCTCACAGGGAGTTCCTTCCATACAAACTACTCAATTTAATAACAGGTGATTTTTTGTTGGTTTGTTTTACTCTTCTGGGTCTTTATTCTAAACTTCACACCACATTGTTACTATTTTTTGTTTAAAGAGTCAGTTGTTATTTTAATAGAATTAGAGAATTTTAAAAAAATCCTTAAAATTTACCTGCACCTTTTTTTCTTGCAGTACTTTAATGATGTCACTCCACTGTGTTCTCACTTGAATCATTTCCAGTGAGAAACTCTCTGCCTGCCTTAACTTTGTTTCCTTTCTGTAAATGTGTCTTTTTGTCTCTGGCAGATTTTAAGATTCTTCTCTTCATCATTGGGGTCAGAAGATTTATTCTGATGTATCTTGGTATAGTTTTTTTTCTCATTTCTTGTGCTTGGGGTTTGTTGGACATCTTGAAATAAACTTTTTTTGGAAACATTTTTTCCAGTTCTCCTCCTCCTCTTTGGGATATTCCAATGACATATATGTTCAGTTACGTGGCATATCCCACAACTCACAGATGCTCTTTTGACTTAAAAACTTTTTTCTTTAATCTCTGTTTTTTACACCCGATCTTAGCCAAAAGGCCGAGAGGCAATAATCTCTGTTTTGTATTAGGGATACTTTCTACTGGTATGTCTTTGATTTCATGAATATTTCCTTCCGCAATTTCTAAAATGCTTTAAATCCCATCCAGTATATATTTTGCTGAGACATTGTAGTTTTCATTTTTTGGAATTTCTATTTGGGTGTTTTTTTTAATATCTAGCAGTCTCCTCCTTATCATATATCATCTTTCTTCCAGCTTAAATATATGGACCATAGTGACAGTATGTGTTTTAACATCCTGGTAGGTAATTCTAACATCTGTGTCAGTTTTAGGTCAGTTTCAGTTGATTGGGTTGTTTTCCTCACTATGGGTCATATTTTTCTGCTTTTTTACATGCCTTATGTTTTTTGTTAGATGTCAGATATTGTAGATTATACCCTGTGGGTGCTAGATGTTACTCTATTCCCATAAATATGCTTGACCTTAGGTCTGGAACATAGTTGAGTTACTTGGAAACAGTTTGATCCTTTCAACTCTCACTTTTAAGATTTGTGATGTAAGAAAAATGTTCAGCTAGGCCTAATTAGTCTTCACTCCTGATGCAAGACCTTCTACCCCACCAGTGCTCTGCAGATTGTGAGGTTTGGGAATCTGGCTGATGGAAACATGCATCAGGCCTGGGTGAGTGCTAGGCACTGTGTCTTCTAATCCTTTCCAGTGATACTTTCCCCAGTCTCCAGTGTTTCTTCATGAACTGATCAGCTCTCAGCTAAATACTCAGGGGGGTTTACTGTGAGTTCTCTCGTTGTGAAGATCGCTCCTCGCTTCCATTCTTCCCTGCAAACTCTAGCTAGCTCAGTCATTCCAGACTCTTAGTTTTGTCTCTTCAACTTAGGGAGTCTGCCAGGTTCTGCCTGGGTCTGCCCTCCTTCCCTACACCGCAGCCTGTAAACCATCTCAAGGCAGGAAGCTGGGTGATCGTAGGGCCCACATTATTTGTTCCTGCTTCTCAGGGACAGCAACAGACATTTTTAATGATGCTCCTATTCTTGAAACCATTTTTTCACATACCTTGTCCGGTATTTAGTTGTTTCAGGTGAAAGGAAAATCTAATTCTTATTACTCCAGCTTCCCAGAAGCAGAAGTCTTCTTTAGGTCTATGACCAGTCACCATTTTCCATATTTTACCCTTAACTATAGAATAAGAGGTGACAGCAAGGTCAAAGACATTGTTTTCTCAAATTTCCTCCCATCTCTCTAGGATTCAGCTAATAAAAACTTAAGAGTCTCTGATTTTTAGACTTCTGTTTTCATTGAGGCTGAATTAATGAATATGGAGTTTATAAATTTGGATTCTACAAAGCTAAGCTTCTTTCTCTTTGCTCTGACCCCAGGGTGAGGTAGTTGGAATTTGGGCTGGTGGGGGGGGGGGCACCTCTGGAGCTACGTCTCCACTAGCCATCTTTGCTCAGACACATGGGCACTTACATCTGCTACCTCTTCAAGGAGATGACGTGCTGCTACCCTTATCAGTGGGGCTGCCCTTAAAGCCTGGATCCAGAACACTGAAGCAGAGGTTGGACTGCTTGTTTGCTTTTCCCTTTGAATTCCTCTGCAGCAGCTAGTTCTTCAAGCAAGGGCAAATTCCCTATTTCTCACTTAGATACCAAATAGCCAAGCATGACATCCATCAACAATCATTTTTCCCTTTCAGACCCACTCCAGACCCACACCCAACCTTCCTCCTAGGACAAATGAGACTCCTCTTTCTGCTTCTTGTAGAAGAAGGGCTACACTCCAAATGCCCTCTGCCCAGGTGACTTCCTCTTCTAGCCCCATTAAAGCATTTCTCATTAAAGAGCTGCAAAAAATCCTACAATTTAATCTTTAGCAAGTTGATCCTTTAGTAGCCACCAATAGCCCCCATGCCCGCTAATGTAACCTTTCTATGTAAAAAGTTCAGATAGATTTAGAATTTCCAGATGTTCACGTTTACAAAGTTGTTATCTGCCTTCACTTAACACTGTTCTCTCTCTGCCCCTTTCAGCCTACTGCAATGACAAGAGAGGCAGTCTAAAACATAAGCATGGACTTGTAGTCATATAAAGTCCAGATGAAGCTAGCTAGGTTCTTATCCAAATTTAGTTTTTAAAAAAAGATACATATGTCTTAGTCAGTTTGGGCTGCTATAACAGAATACCACACATTGAGTGGCTTATAAACTACAGAAACGTATTTCTCCCAGTTCTGGAGGCTAGAAGTTCAAATCAAGGTGCTGGCTGTTTCAGTGTCTGGTGGGGAGCTACTTCCTGGTCCACAGATGGTCACCTTCTCATTGCGTTCCTGCATAGTAGAAGGGACAAGGGGTCCCTCCTCTCTGGGGTCTTTTTTAAAAGGTACTAACCCCATTAATGAGAGCAGAGCTCTCATTACTTCACGTCCAGAAGGGCTCACCTCCTAATACCATCACTGTGGGGGTTACAATTCCAACAATAGGATTTGGGGGGGACATGATATTCAGTTCATCACAAGATATATACACATATTGTTTGTTATTGTGTTGTCTGCGTGGCACTTAAGATACATGCATTTCCTGCTAGATTTTCTTCCCCTTAGTAAAGATGCATCACAATCATTTGTTATTTAGTTTGAAGAGATGATAGTTCATTCTAACTTATTTCACATTTTTTGTCTTTGTATCAGGAAGCCAGTGACACAGTTTTACATGGACCCTCTGACAACCGAGCAAATAGACCCTTGGAATTCCCTCCTTCATCTATGTTTCCACGCAGTGGGCATTTGTTGAGGATCTACGGCATGCCAGGCGCAGAGAGGGCTTGATCTCAGTCCTGCTGACAGTCTATTTCCCTTCACTTACTCCACGCTTCTTTCTTTCTTTCCACAGGTGCCACCGTGAACAGAGAAAACAGCTGCCAGTCTGACAGCAGCGGGTTCCTGGATGAACCAGCAGAAGCACCACCCCTGCAGGTAGATGGGCCCTGGAGGGTTGGAAGAGGAATAATAAAAGGAAGGATAAGTAGAAAGTGCGCTGCCACATTTGGAAAAGGACAACCAGCCCTTAGAAGACACGCACCCCAGGCACCCAGGGGACAGGGGATGATGGGGTTAGGATAAACAAGGTGCCATAAGGGCGCCTGGCTGGCTCAGTCGGTTGAGCATCTGACTTCGGCTCAGGTCATGATCTCGCAGTCTGTGAGTTCAAGCCCCACTCTGGGTTCTGTGCTGACAGCTCAGAGCTTGGAGCCTGCTTCAGATTCTGTGTTTCCCTCTCTCTGCCCCTCCCCCACTTACTCTCTGTCTCTCAAAAATAAAAATCATTAAAAATTAAAAAAAACAAGGTGCCATAAAGCTTAGTATTCCTTTTCTTTTTACTTTCTTTTGACTTTGATAAATAAGGAAGCTGAGCCTTCTAGACAGAAGGCCCCAGTTAAATGTAAACCTGAGTCTGTAACCCTGATCTCCTGACTCCTAAGTCAATGGTAATGATAAGGAAACGATACACAGCTCTTTTTTGAGAGAGAGAGAGAGAGAGAGAGAAAGCATGTGTGAGCTGAGGAAAGACAGAGAGAAAGAGTGAGAGAAAATCCAAAGCAGGCTCCACAGCGCAGAGCCCAATTCAAGGCTCAAACCCAAGAACCGTGAGATCATGACCTGAGCCGAAATGAAGAGTCAGATACTTGACGAACTGAGCCACCCAGGTGTCCCCGACACACCCATTTCTTAAACCTTAGTGCCTCCACCACCCTCCTGACCCATTTGCCTTTATCCTGGTTTCTCACACAGCTGCCTTCCTTGCCAAGCAGCCAGAGTCCTGCTGAGGATGGATGTGGACAGCCAAGGGATCAGAGCCAGCATGCAGTCTCGGCCCAGGGCTGCCAACAAGAGTCAGAGGAGTCTGATTACAGCGGCGTGTTGAGCACATCCTTTCCATACCAAGGCTGGAGTATCTTGGAAGAAAAGGCCTCAGCATATGTGGTGGAGAAGGAGTCTCAGTTTGAGGGTACGGAGGAGCCACCAGAGCCATTGACCCCAGATATGGCCCTTTACAAGAGCCCTAGAGGAGGAGAACGCCCAGGGGAAAAGAGCCATGTGAGGCAGCCCCCGCCCATGCCCCAAACTGAACGTGAGACTGTGGTGGGCACAGTTACCTCCAGATGTGACTGTCCTCTGGGGTTTGTGGTGACCCATATCACAAAAATGAAGGATGGGTTGCTGAAGCCTGAGGGGGCTGGGGAACCATATGTGCAAAGCCACCACCGCGAGTCCCAAAGATCACCTGCTGCCGACAAGTTCCTTCATGTTGCCTCCGAGGCCCCAACAGGAGCAGAAAGCAGTAAAACTTATTCTGACACCAACAATGTCTCACTGGTAGGAGAAAGTCCACCACAGCATGTCCCCAAGCCCAGTAACATCACGCCCTACACAGTTGACCTCAGTCAAATATCCGAAAAGTCCATTTCCCACCAAGACAAACTGGCTGGAGATACTCCCCAAGCAAAGCCAACATTTAGTGCTTTGGGTCAAATACCATTTATGACAGAATCTGAGGTGGAAAACCTTCCTCCAAATGCTGACTCAAACACCATTAGCTCCAAGGCTGTGACAATCCAGATGTCCTCCAATCTGGCATCGGCTGCTCAGAACGCTGTGCCTTTGGGGACTGATTCTAAAGGAACAACTTTAGAATGCACTATGTGTGACCCTGTGCCCACAACAGAACCAGGACTGGGGACAGAATCAAGACAGTGCAGTGATGTTTCCATTCAGACCTACATATGTGAGCCTCGGCCCCGACATTGCTGTACAGCCCCACGTAACGAGGCCCAGCGCCTCACCAAATCCGTCTCTCTAGACACAGGCTTCCGTCATATCTACCCAGCAGGCACCTGCCACTCTGTACCTGCCCACTGCTGTGTCTGCTGTCATCATTGTCCCCACTGCCACTCAGCCTGTAGACACTGCCCATGCTCGCATAATCACCTGGAAGCCCAGTTCATGAAGACTTTGAATGTCCTTCAGGACACTACAGTGAGGGAGTTGTGCTCAGTAAGTATTCACTGCAAAGATGGGAGAGCAGATGGAGGGATACCACCTCGGGAATAATGATCAGGCCTCCTGAATGCGGGTGCTCAGGGCACACCTTTCCATCTCAGATCATGAGTAGTATTTGTAAAGTGCTTTAAAGCTTGCCATATATTCTCTCAAATTTCTTCTTATCTGATGCTTCCAATCACCTTCTGAAGTAAGAAGGCAAATTTCATTTTACAGAGGGACCCCCATTTTACAGAGGGATCTAGAACAATAAAGTCATGTATAAGGTTATAAACAGGAACACATCTGGACCTCATCTCCAATTCAGTCTAACTGAACAATTCTCTGTCCTAAACTCACCTAGCTGAATAATCTTGCACAAGCTATGAACTCTCTCTGAGCCTGTTTTGTAAAATAGGGAGACTATTCATGCCCCTGACACAGGATTGTTTTAGGTTAAGTGAGAGAATGCTTGTAAAGCACTCAGCATGTTCAGATGCTCAGCACAGTGCCCAGCATACAGAAAGCCCTAGAGAATGCTAATTCTGTGGGCACTTCTGAGACACAGCACTGGGGAAGCTCAGAGCCAGGTACAGGATAAGGATTGGTTCTGGGGGTCAGGCAGAAGGACACTGATTAGAACAAAGACCAAAGGTTAAGCCTGCGCCAGCTCCAGGGGTGAGTGACCTTCCATGCAGACAGCGCCCTTCTGATTTCTCTAGCTGGTGTTAACAGATGACCTTGGGCCCACGTAGCCTTGGCTGTGTGGAGGGATCTGGCAACCGGAAATAGACCTTTCTTCACTTGACACTATGAAACATGAGCACTTCTGCAGAAAATACAGGGGTTTTGCATCCCATTATGCACAATGGCCATCTTCAGACTTGTGTGTGGCTTTTAAATGAGTAGGCATTTAAATGAGAGCATCCTTGCAACCCTCTTGTGTCTTCTAAAACCTTGTCTCACATTACTTTAACCTGCTCTCCTCCTAGAATTCACAATTATATTTAAAAAAATGAGGGGCGCCTGGGTGCCTCAGTCAATTAAGAGTCCAACTTCAGCTCAGGTCATGAAATCACAGTTCATGGGTTGGAGCTCCACAGCAGGTTTTGTGCTGACAGCTCAGAGCCTGCTTCGGATTCTGTGTCTCCCTCTCTCTCTAACCCTCTCCCATTCACACTCTGTCTCTCTCTCCTTCAAAAGTAAACATTAAAAAAATTTTTAATGATATTTTTACATCAATTTGATCTAACAGTATACATTCTGAAATGCATACCATGTCAGGTTTTATTAGATGACAATGCATTTCTCCTCATTTAGATTCAAGGAACTGCAAACATACATTCAAAGAAAATAACATACACACACATACATGTGCATTATTATACTTGTGTCCAGATATACGCACATGCGCACAACACGCACACACACTTGCAGAAAAGCAAGTAAAAATGGGGGATTGGATTCACCCATGAGAGGAGCTACTTAAACTGAAGAACAAACTCAAGAATGAAGAGAAAAAGCATCTATAGTGAGTGAGTCTGGGTTTGTAAGGCCTGAAAAATATTCTGGAGAAAAATATCTCTAATTCTGATGCTAAGTGCTAGCTAGGACTACAAAAATTATTTATAAAATAAATTTGTCTGGAAAATGGATCTTGAGCCAAGTGAAGATTATAGGCAGGGATAGGTACTATCTGTTACCTGTCAATGGAAGTTCCAAGTGAGCATTGAAAGTAAGAGCAACTTTAGATAAAAGACTCAGAAAAACATCCCTGTCTCATCCCCTTACAGAGAAATATGTAACTGTGCAGAGACTCACTTGACTAATTGGCAAATACCATTTTTGTGGTCATGTGGGTCATCTAAAATAATGGTTTATTGGTATGATTAATTCTTGTGTGTGTGTGTGTGTGTGTGTGAATTCTTCATAATAATTTATTGATTTAAAAAAAAACTCTCCAGAAAAGAAAATGATACTATCTGAAATAAGATTCTTAGATATTAGAAAATACTTCTATAATGTTTATCATCTAGATTTAAATAAAAAGAAAACATACACAGAGCTAAAAAAATAATATGAGTCAATTCAAAAGAAGTTTAATGTTTTCTGGTGGTGTTGCTCTTACTGTTGAAGTTAAAGTTTGTTTTGATGGGCTTGGGTCAGTCGAGTAGACCTGGAATGGACTTTGGGTTATAACCGTGCACTTATATTGGAAGGAAGAGCTCAAGACAACTTCTTTTTTGTTTTCCTTGCCTAAGTTTTTCCTTTATTCTGAAATGACTTCTATACCTGGTCTAGAGCTGAAATGTAGCTTTAGTATTTTCAAATGACCAGAAGATGGCAGTATTTCAGAATCTTCCACATCACTCCCTTCTCAGGGACCAAATGGCCATCCCCACATGCTTTCCAATCATAAAGTGTTACCCGAAAATAACTAGATGAAGCATAATATTTAATGTTTCTAATGCTCAGCCTACTTGACCACCATATTTCCATGCCCCTGGCCTCACCATCTTAGAATTTGTCAACTAGGACCATTCAACCAGCTCATTCGTAAGAAACAAATGACTTCTCCCTGTGTCCAGCTCCACTGGAATTAATAGCCCCTGCTGTAACTCAGATCTTGAGAAGAGAAGAGAAGAGATGAATCAGGACACTTGGGCTTGAAATCTACCCTTTTTGACCTTGGACAAGTCGGTTTGCCCTTCCGTGTCAGAACACTTCTCTGTAAAAAGAGCCCTTCATGGTCTCTAAGATCTTCTCTGATTTCAAGAGCCATATTGGTAGTCGCCTTTCAAGCGTCTTTGCCAATGTCAATAACACTTCAAATACTCCTCTACCTGGTTCAAATGTACTCACACTGAAGCAAAAGTAATTTGAGTGTTTTGCCATATAAAATATGCTTTTCATATATAAAAATTAGGGGACAGAATCAAAACCAAATTCTCAAATAAAAATGCTGAGGAGATTTCAGTAGAAAAACATCACTTGAAGGAAAGTATTTTCATGATGACCATTTCAGTAAAAATAGCCATGAGGCTGCCAGGATCTTGACCATGGGGTTTTAAGAAGAAGAGTAAGAAATCTAGGACTTCCTAAAACAGGGCTAGGAGGAATTAACACAGCTGTAAGACCAGTCTCCGTGGAAGGAAGAAGACGAGGAGGTTGAAACAGGGCTACCGTGAAAATCAGTTTCCTTTATAGAGCTTTCCAGGGAACCTGGGTGGCTCAGTCGGTTAAGCATCTGACTTTGGCTCAGGTCATGAACTCACAATTCGTGAGTTCAAGCCTCGCATCAGGCTCTGTGCTCACAGCTCATAGCTTTCCAGAAGCTCTACCAGGTCTGGGAGAGAGAGCATTGGGGTCTAAAAAGCATTAATGTCACTTAAAGTCAGATGGATGGAGACGCTGGGGTTCTGGGTCATGCATCTATTCAAAGCAGGATCCAACCTGGGCTGGAAAACAAGGTGAGTTACTAGTAAGCACTCAGGGAATCACGAGGTTCCTGACAAATGGACTGGGTTTAGGAGCTGCAGGAAGATACAAAAATTAGGAAACCAAGGCAGAAGCACAGTCATGCAGAGAAAGTGTGATTTAAAGAATGGTTCACATCAGGAGCAGTGAGGAGCAGGATAGGGAGAATATACAGAGTTCAATTCTAGATCCAATTCATGAAGAGAGTGGGATGCCTCATCTGTGTCTGCCTTACTCTGGATGAGCTTGTTAGCTACATGGAGCTGATCCTGCAGATTTCGCCACCAGGGATTGTGGTTAAGCAAGGCTAAGACTAATAAAAAAATATTCTAAGCAGACTTTCTCTCATCAAACACATACCATCCGGACAGATGTGTTCAATGTTATTGAGATTCAAAATGAGGCAGTATTCAGCACCCAAATTAAACAAGATTTAACAAGACTCAACTTTTCTGAGCACAAGCCCTCACTCTGGCCCTTTCCTTACTGCTCTCCTTCATCTGCATCATCACACCCTCGCATCACCTAGTCCTCCAGACAGCCTTTCTGTCTCTGGGACATGATGTGTCCAAGGGCCGTCCTCTAATATCGGCTCTCCTGTCTCAGACCAGTACTGCCTCCACTAGCCTGGAGAAGCCAGAAGCTGGCCTTTCCCTCTTTTCTTCCCCACACATTAGAATTAGGGTTTGTTGCAGAGAAGGGAGCCCAAGGGGGAAGGCAGGCTCCGCCACGGCGAGCTCTTGCAGTGAATCAGGAAGGACCCCCTTCTCAGCTCTTTCTGATTGTTCTCAGTGCACAGTCCAGGGGATGGAAGCCATGAAGATGGTGTGCCAGCGTTTCCGGGAGCATTTGGAGGAAATTGAACGGCACCTTACAGGACAGCAGGCACTGTTTTACAGGGACATGACAGAGGAGGAAAGGTAATTATTGAAGAGAGTCATAAAAGTAAGCAGCAGCCCACACACCTGGAGCAAGAAAAGGTAATCAGGGCAGGACAGATGAGCGCCCGGGAGCAGGATTAATGAGAAAAGAGTCCTGTTCCTTTGCTTTCCTCTTCTTGTTCTTGCTTCCTCAGTGGGAGTCAGTGAGAGCTATTTGCTAGATAGCCCCACGTACTCTTTAAGGCCAAGGCTATTTGAGGTCAGAAGAGGGACAGTCAGCTGGGAAGAGTGGGGGGAGTGACCAGCAGGATACCTTCAACTGATGTCAATGGGGTTTACGCAAAATGTAAATGTTGAAAATCTGCATTATTAGAGTTTTGAAAATCTGCATTATTTTCACGTAGATTAAAACATATGTCCCAAACGTAGATTAGTCATTGCCTGGTCCTGAAGGGTGAGCGTAGGGATCAACTATTAAGGGGCACAGGAGTTTTTATGTGGCAAATGGAAGTGTTCCTTTTTTTTAATTTTTTTTTTATTTCTAGGAGAGAGAGAGAGAGAGACAGCGTGAGCAGGGGAGGGTCAGAGAGAGAGGGAGATACAGACTCTGAAATAGGCTCCAGGCTCTGAGCTGGCAGTCAGCACAGAGCCCAACGCGGGGCTCGAACCCACGAACTCGAGATCATCACCTAAGCGAAAGTCGGACGCTTAACCAACTAAGCCACCCAGGTGCCCCAACAAATGGAAGTGTTCCTAAACTGCCTGGTGGTGAGAGACACAACTTGGCAAATTTGCTAAAAATCATTGCATTGTACTGTTAAAATAGGTAAACTTTGTGGGTTGCAAATTATTCTGCAAGAGAGTTGTTTAAAAAAAAAAAAGTAAGGGTGCCTGGGTGGCTCAGTCGGTTAAGTGTCTGACTTCAGCTCAGGTCATGATCTCACGGTTCATGGGTTCAAGCCCCGCGTCGGGCTCTGTGCTGACAGCTAGTTCAGAGCCTAGAGCCTGCTTCAGATTCTGTGCCTCCTTCTCTCTCTGACCCTGCCCTGCTCACGCTGTCTCTCTCTCTCTCTCTCTCAGAAATAAATAAGATATTAAAAAAATTTTTTTTAAAGTAAGAAAATCTGCCCTAGTAATATACCTAAGTCTGCAACTGATACAAATAAAGAAGGTGACATCTCCTCTTAAGAAATGTCAGAGGAGTGAGGCACCTGGGTGGCTAATTGGTTAAGCATCTAATTCTTGGTTTCAGCTCAGGTCATGATCTCATGGTTCATGGGTTCGAGCCCTGCATTGGGCTCCACACTGGCCTTGCGGAGCCTGCTTGGGATTCTCTCTCTCTCTCTCTCTCTCTCTCTCTCTCTCTCTCTCCCTCCCTCTCCATCTTCCTCTCCTTCTCTCTCTGCCCCTCCCCAATTTGCACTCTCTCTCAAATAAATAAACTTAAAAAAAAAAAAAAGAAGTCTCAGAAGAGTGACATCCATTTTGAGAGGGACCATGGAAGACTGTGCTTGGACGTGAAATGAAATTTGGTCATTTTCTATTCTATTCTTTACGTGCAGGGAAGAGGCGGAGCAACTGCAGACTCTACGCCAGGCCCTGCGGCAGCAGGTGGAAGAGCTGGAGTTTCAGTTAGGAGACCGGGCTCAGCAAATCAAAGACGAGATTCTATTGGTATGGGGCAGTAGGGTGTGAAGTCTGACCACATCCTGCCCACCGTAGAGGGGATGCATTAAATCAGAAACCAGATTGCACATTCATTTCAGATGCTAAGTCTTATGCCAATGCCTCCATTTTAAAAATAAAGAAACGGAAGCCCAGAGAAGTACGTTGCTTGGTTCAAAGACATGTGGCTAGCTGATGGCAATGTAGGATTAGAAATCAGGTCATCTCATTCCTATGCCAATCTTTCCTCCTGCGCTGTAAATAAGAGGTAAATATTATTAGTCATTTTCCCAAAGAGAGTAAAAAACACAACTTTTGAGCTAGTATGGCTTAGTCACTGCCAGAGGCTGCTGCTAGCTCACAGGGCCTATTCTACAGAATTCCTCACCCTTGAGTACCTTTCCCACAAGTCTGACTTAGTTATCTGGGACAAATATGGTAAGTCGTCCACTCTTTTTGTTTTTATTTTCCTTTTAACAGCTTGGGCTTCTCACAGAGGAACAACATAAACATTACACAAATCTGCATCACTGTAACTGGACAGAAGAAAAGAGTGGCCAGACTTCATGTGCTAAACTCCACTCAGCCATGGACTGCCGCATTGCCTTTCCTCTGGACGGTAACCAGCAGGTTCCCAGCTCAAGTGTGACACACATGGCTGCCTGTTCTCCACCCACCTGGGACAGCAACACCAGGATGTCTCCTCCAGCTCAGGCCGAGTTGGGTCCAGTCCCTTTGTCAAATTGTCCTATTGGAGAAAAGGATACAAATGACTTCCTCTAGATCAGAGTGGTTTTGATGATCTTCCTGCAAAATATAAGAGCACATTCTAGCCAGACAAGGAAATCTAAAATTCCCCAAAAATGTGTCTATCAATTCTTCTTCAGCTATTTTAAAAAATATTCTACTCAGGGAGTCACCTGGGTGGCTCAGTCGGTTAAGAATCTGACTTGGGCTCAGGTTATGGTCTCGCGGTTCTTGAGTTTGAGGCCCGCATCCAGCTCCGTGCTAACAGTTCAGAGCGTGGGCCCTGCTACAAGTTCTATGACTCCTTCTCTCTCTGCCCCTCTCCCATTCACATTCTGTCTCTCTCTCTTTCTCTCAAAAATGAATAAACATTAAAAAATGTTTACATGTTCTACTCTGGGGTGACTAGGTAGCTCAGTCAGTTAAGTATCTGACTCTCGATCTCAGCTCAGATCTTGATCTCAGGGTCATGAGTTCAAGCCCTATGTTGGGCTTCACACTGAGCGTGAAGCCTACTTTAAAAAATGTATATATACTGTTGTTAAACCAAAGAGAAGCTCAATATTTCAATATTCATTCAATACAGAATAAATGAGCACCTACCAAGTTCCTGGAACAGGGAATACATAGTAGCCAAGATATATCTATATATCTATATCTATATCTATCTGTATATAAACCTTTAGGTACAAATGGTATGCAGTCTTTGCCCTGCTGAAACTTAGGGTCTAAGACGGGATATAGAATGTGGACACATAAAGATATATGGGTTTGAAAACTCTGAAAATGTTTTGAAGGAAAGAACATTTCCTATGAGGGAGAACGTAGCAAGGAGTCTGACTGAGATCAAGGTGTCAGGAGGGCCTGGTTGAGGATGTGACAACAGAAGAAGGAAAGAAAATTCAGACCTCAGAGGGACAGACTGTCCAATGGCCCAAGTCAGTCGAGCCCTGGAGGCACCGATGAAGCTCCTACCATGGGCCAGGGAATCTTCTAGTGCTGGAGACAGCCGTGAACAAGCCAGATGTCCTACTCATAAAGAGTTGGACAGAGAAAACAACAACAACAAAGTAAGATAATTTCAATATTGACAAATGCCATGGAGAGGACAGTGTGGGAACACTGCAGAGGGTGGTGTGGAAGAAAAGCGTATGACATTCCTCAGGGTGAGGGGGAAGACCTTGCTAACAGGAGGCTAAGACTCAACGATGAGGGAGAGGAAGCCATGTGGAATTCTGGGGAAAGAACCTTTAAAGCTTAAGGAATGGAAAGTTTAAAGGCCCTGAGACAGAAACAGCCGGAGCTGCTGAGCACATGAGTGATGAGAGCGCAGAGGCAGACGAAGTCCACAGGTCTCATTGTCCGCCGGAGCCTGAGAGCCGGGATCCTTCTTCCATCCGGTTTTAAACAGAATCGGCATATAGTCTGGTTCACATTTAACAATCACGCTGCCTGGCTGTGGAGAACACGCCGCCAGTGACTTGCAGCTAGGCAGCGCTTCTAGTCATGACACCACTGGTGTCATCCCTGAGGTGAGAAGCAAAGTGTCACGTTGCTTTCACGCAGCTGCAGAGGTGTGTGAGGCCACCACCCCAGCGAAATGCAGGATGCATGGCAGGCGTGAAGAACCAGAGGAATTCTAAGGAATAGGGAATAAGTGAGGAATGGAATACTCATAAAAACTTCATGGAAAAAGTAACCCCTTGTGTGAAGTTAGAATTTGTATATGATGGGCTAGTGGAGGTCACTTCCTAGTAAGGAGACTAGGAGGCTCATTCTTTTGAGACTACCCACTACCGGAATGGATCTCCTGGCGCCTCTCATGCTTCACCCTCTTTGCTTTTCAGAAATTCTTTGGCTTCAGCAGGCCTCTCCTACCCTTTGAACCATCCCACAGTCTCCTCTGTTGACTGTACTTTCTCAGAGAGCAATCCCCTTCTAACCTTAATTCTCTTTGTTTTCTGTCTCCACACCAACTTCCCCACTATATGCACTCAGTCTACCAGCATCTTTATCTCCAGTTCCCGCCTCTCCAGAATTCCTATCCAGCATTTTCTACTCTCTGTAAGATAGTTTCACCCGGAAGACCTACCTGGACGTCTCACTCAGCATCTAACACTTGTTCTGCCATTTCTCTGGACCGGTTCATCTTCCTGATGCCCTCTGTTGATGGCATTACCGTTCACCTTGACATGCAGACTCAGAGCCACACATTCACATTGTCTCCTCATCCTTCTTCACTCTCTTCCCTCAGAATCAATGATCACATCACTGCGGAGTTTACTGCCATGATGTCATTCCTAGAAGCCCCATCAGAACTTGTTACTTGGTGAAGACCCAACAGAGGGGCCTCCTAACTGCCTCTAGCTTCCTTCCCTCGAACTATATTGGTCTCTACCAAATTGGTCCCCCTCATGCATCACTTGGATCAGATTACTCTGGCCCAGGGAGAACCTTTAGGGTATCCTAGAGAATTAGATTATACTTTCCAGAGCGGTCTTACACCAAACAACCTCTGTGCCCTGCAATTATTATGTCCCTCTCCTTATCTCCTCTTGCCTCATTTCCCTTTACTCCATCCGTAGTTTGGCTTCTACATGATGGTTCAGCTTCCAGCCCCAACTTGGCTCCTGTTCTATTGCATATATATCCCCCCAAATCGCTTCCTTTTCTAAAATGTTTAAGCTTTTTCCTCTTTATCTGAGTCAGACGCCAGGCTCCCTGGTTTACCTTTATTTCTCCAGTGTAGACTTCGAAAAGTTTGCTGTGGTTTCTGCCTTGATAATCAGGCAGATGACTTCAGACGTGATGGGGGAGGTGGAGACCTGTTGCCTTCAGATGAAGGGTAGAATATGGAGTTCCCAAGGATTGCTCAACATCTCATGCATTTCCTCATTTATTCTCCTCACTTTCCAGCAAAGAGCACAAAAGGGGAACCAGGATGTAGAGAGGCTGTCCATCTCTCCCAGAACCATGACAGTCTTCAGCCCGTGATGATCTGATTGCCAACACTATTTCCAAATACCATCTTCTGTAGTTCATGCTCTTCCTCTCAGAGACATGAGACCTGTAGAAACCCAGCCCACCTGTGGATCTGTGGATTACCGCCGGTGTCCACAGTGGTTCTCTATCCGGAATACCCTTTAAACTCACTGGGGAGCTTTAAAAAATACTGACATCGAAGCCCCACTCCAGATCAATTAAATAAGAATCCCCAGGGGTGAGATCCAGGTATCTACAAATTTTTAAAGGTCCCCAGATGATTCTGAGATGCAGTTAAAACTGAGGATTCTTGTTCCAGATGAAGAGGCTACCTTGCAATTCAGTCTTTCCTGTTGTTTTCTAAGGACTCTCTTTTATTTCCCTTTTTCCTTTCTATACCACCCCTCTCAGCTAAAGAAGCCTTTCACAATTCATTTGGTAGTGACAGTCGCTAAATAACAAAATTTGGAGAAGAGAAAGAAAAAATGGCCTGTGGGCTCTATTTCTATTCTTTACAGCATTGCCCTCTACCTTGCTCATCAGCTCCTAGATTTCATCTTTATTTATAGATTGAGTAAACTGATGACTTTGTTCTGTTTTCCTTCCTTTCCCAAAAGTCCTATTCCAAATGTGATGAAACAGATTAAATATACATATCTGATTAGGTAGGTCAGGGTAAGGATCATTTGTTTCCTCAATTCTCTTGTAAGAAACGTGTGTATAAAGTAGCCAATTACAAAAATTATGGAAATTTCTTTTTCAATGTATATAGTTGTTTCTCCCAGAGGATACAACACAAACATTCTAGGAAGGTGAACAATTAGGCAATTTTCCTTTACAGTGTAAACATTAAAATTAAATGTAAGACTGGGTGTTTTGAATATTATTTACAGCACACAAAGATATGAAGCAAGTGTCTCAAGGTTAGAATCTACAACAAATGCTCAGGTGACTCAAATACTCTGATGTTATGATGCCACCTGTCTTCCATTCTTCTACCTCTTCCATAAATAGACCTCAAAAATTCATGTGTATATCATAGTATTTATAGCAGCTACAGTGTTTCACTCTGGTATCATTTTATTCAACTTAAAATATGTGAAACATTAATGGACAGGATGTCAAAGTGTTTTCTGGAGTTACCTAGCAAAGAAAATGCCTTCTACCTCGAATCTTCGGGCATACTTTGCTGGCTTTTCTCTTTATTTCAGTGTGAGACACAATGTCCCGTGCCAAGCACTTCCATTACAATCTCTTGTTCTCAAAAGCGGGTTCACAGTGAAACTGCTCATTGGACTTAGAAAATATTTTTTTTCTCAGAACCTAGCTCAAAGCTAAATAAGACTCCCCTTTGGAGTCCAGATGTATTTTGACAAATTCCAGACATGCTTTTGGCTTAAGTTGCTTCCACAGAAAACAGACAGAAATTAAGATTTGGTGGTTATTAGTTGATATGATCAAGCTGGATAAAATGGATTGACCATACAGGACGTCATTTGTTTATGCAAAACTAGGAGTCTTTTGCACGTGACAAACTTTATCTCATTTGATTCTCACGAGGCTGCGGGGTGTATTTCCCATTTGAACAGTGAGGGAGCTAAGATATGGAGAGATCACCGTCCACAAGTACACACTGCGCTTATTATCATTAACAGGCAGCTGCATGCTGGAGTTAAGGACTCAAGCTCTGGAATTACATCCAGGGATTGAAGCTTAACTCTGACTCCACTACTTACCTCTGTGTTAGGTAAATTACTTGAATCCTCTAAGCCTCAGTGTCACCATCTGTAAATTATCAGAATTAATGCATACATAGCCCTTTAGAACAAGCCTGGAACGTGGTTCAGTATGATTCCATACTGAATCTGGCTCAGTCTGATTACGATGGTGTTGAGAGTAACAAGAATAGTGGCAACTTTTTAATACCTACTCCATGCAAGGTACTAGGCTAGATAATGAGTGCATTATCACTCATCTTTACAACAGTCCTGAAAGACAAGAATGAACACATGTTCACACACACACACACACACACACACACATATATACACACACACACATACTCAAGAGCATTGTAAATTGTTTAAGTTCCGACAACTGGTAAGAGATTGTGTTGCCTCTCCGATTCCCTGCTTTGCGGGTGGCTCCCGGTTGTGGTGCTATCAAGCCTTGGGGCTTAAGTGGAGCCCACTGCAAAGTTCAAATCAGCTAGAACAGCCCAGCTTTTGACTACATAATATATTGAGCTTTAGCAGAGATTTTCCTTTTTTAAAAAATCGAATTATGATAGAAAAGTTTGAAAAGCACTATACTACACTAATCACACATGACTCATACGGTCAGATAGAGTTCTGAGTTGGTTTCATACAAAGAAATGACTTCCACCACACAGGAACCCTCAAGAAGCTACCATCCTAAAAACCCTTAGCTTACTGCCACTGTATCCTTGCCAGGAATAAGGGCAAGAGGTCCTTTATAGTCGCTGAATGATTTTCTGGGGAGTCTTTTTGTTCTATCATCAAGGCCCGAGATACTATATTCTCTTTTCTTTGAATGTTAACTATATTCAAGTTGACTATATTCAGGAAAACCCAGACCACATATTAAAAAAAAAAACAAAAAAACAAAAAAAACCCAGAGATCATTGCAATAAATATTTATAAAAAGTTAAAAACATAGCAAACTCTTATATATATATATATAAAGTGTATATATATATATACACTTTAAACTACCAGACTGATTTCAGAACAAAATTCCTGAGTGATATTTCCAGAGGTCTTAGAAATCCACATTTCACAGTATTTTTCTTATGACACTTTAAAATGTTATTCCACAGTTTTCCTTTTTTGTTTTTGCTTTTGCCCCATGGTTTCTGATGAGAAAGTTCCCCGCCTTTGAAATTCTGATTCTTTATGTGTAATGCATTGTCTTTATATGGCCTTTTCAAGATTTTTGGCTTTGTTTTTTTCTGTTCTTTGATTATGATGAGTCAGATGATGGCTTTCTTCAGGTTTATCCTATTTGAAGTTTGCTGAACTTCTTTCATCTGCAAATACATGTCCTTTATCAAATCTGGAAGTTTTTCAGCCATTATGTCATCAAACACATTTCTGCACCATTTCCTTCTCCTCACCTTCCAGGATTACAACCACACCAAAATAAAAAGCTTGATACTGTCCCACAGTTCTTTGAGGCTCTGTGCATATTTTATCAAACTTTTTTTTCCTTCTGTGTTTTCCAGATTAGTTATTTTTTATCGATCTACCATAAAGTTTATGAGTATGTTTTTTTAAGTTTATTTATTTATTTTGAGAGAGAAACAGAGAGAGCAGGAAAGGAGCAGAAAGAGAAGGAGAGAGAGAATCGCAAGCAGGCTCTGCACTGTCAGAGCAGAGCCCAATGCAGGGCTCAAACTTATGAACCATGAGATCATGACCTGAGCTGAAATCAAGAGTCAGATTCTTAACCAACTGAGCCACCTGGGTGTCCCATTATCGATTCTTTTCTTACTCATCTCCATCTTGCTTTTGTGGTCCTCCAGTGGACTTTCTGTTTCCGCTACAGTATCTATCAGTTCAAAATTTCCATTTGGTTCTTCATACACCTTCTGTGTTTGGGCTAAGAATTTCTGTCTTTCCAAAAATGTTCACCCTTGCTTCATGCACATCATCATAAGAGGCTCTTAAGATCTGTGTCCGATTATTACTATATCAGGGTCATCCTGGACTTTGTGTTTGTTGATCACATTTTCTCTTGAAGGTTGCTAACATTTCCCTGATTCTTAGTATGTTGAGTAATTCTGGAATGTAACCCAGGCATTTTCATATTATGTCTATGAAACTCGAGGCTCTTGGCTCAACTTTGGGTTAAAAATTTTCAGGGGAATGTTGTGGGCTTTTTGTTTGTTTGTTTGCTTAATAGGCAATCAGCCTAGTTAATTCAGACCACAGCCCTGACTCACCTGCATGCTGTGCTCCCAGTATCAATTTAGTATTTACAAATTTTCTGTATTATCTCGCCTCCCCTGTGCATGAATCATCTGGGGCTCAGTCTGAAACCTGGATGGTGGTCTACACCATAGTTCAGTTCTCAGCATGTTTGTTATGTTGCTTATGGTCAAGTTCTATGCATGAATGGCTCATGATGAGCCCAATACGTCACAGATTTAAATAACCCTTTACTCCAGCTACTTCCTTTCTGTGAATCCCTCACATTTGCTGACTCCTAGGAGCCCCTTTTCATGTAAAACCATGGTTTTAGCATCCACGCACCATAATGAACTTCCTGAAACTAGGTCTACCTCAGAGCAAAGTAGCAAGAGTAAAGAACCTTCAAACCACCTGTTGCTGTAGCCGCTATTCCTATGCCAATCTCCACTGCTGCTGCTACTGCCACTGCCATGGGGATGCCACTACATTACTCAGGCACACGGGAGGTAGGGCTTGAAGAGGCAAACATCTCTCTTTCCCAAGGACTCCTTTCTCAGTCTTCTGGCCCAAGAGTGAGAACTTTCTTGCAGCATTTTCTATTAGCACCTACTGCACAGCTTCAAGATTCAGGCTTGCCATGGAATCTACGCCAGGAAATATGGGAGGAAAGAAGAAGCAGAGACTCTGCTCCAAAGGTGTGTTATTTGAGTTATTTATTCTCCCTCCCAGTTGACTTGCTACTATATATTTTTCAGAGTCTTCAAATACTTCTTTCATGTATTCTGTTGAGGACTTTTGGTTGCAATAGTGGAAAAGAGAGGATGGCATGCACTTCCTTCATCTTAACCAGAGCTGAAATTTGCCAATCTAATTGTTTTTAATATTCTCTTGTTACAGTAAATAATGCTAACACTTGCTTACTATGTGCTAAATACTGTCTTAAATCTCTTACGTGTAGAGAAACAACAAACATTTGTTGTAAGCATCATTATCCCAAGTTTATAGATGACAAAACAGAGACTTATGGGGTTAAGTGAATTGCTCAATGTCACACAACCGGAAAACCAAGTACAATCCTAAGCTGGTCTGACCCCAGAGCCAAACTCTGAATCACTCTGCCGTGTAGCCATGGGCAGCCCGGTCACGCAGCCCGAATGGGGCCAGAGCTGCAGACACAGTGATTACATGTGAGGATCAGGCAGCAGTCTTCCCTGGGACCCGTGTTTTCATAGCTTTCAGCATTGATTAGGTCAAGCTGAAAGATGTACTTATGCACAAGGCAGGTTGAGATTTAATATTGCTTTGTGTTGGTTATTGGGCAGGTGTTTGTTTAAAAGAAGTGGAAACAGGTGTGTGGGCTCTGATTCAATTACATGATGGAGAGGAACACACTGATCCATGGCCATTTTCAAGGAGAGATGCTGATTGTGCTAATTAATCATTTGTCTGTCAGAACAAAATAGAACATAATAGAAAATGATGTTCCAGTTACCACAGGTATGGAACATGGACTCTTGTGTCTGGCACTCCAGCAACCAGATGCAACTGTTTGTGATGACAGCAATTAAGATGCAGTACCTGAGTCCTCCTGGATTACCATGTCTGAGATGGTTTGAAGGAAAGGTGTTTTATAGACTCTTGCCAACAGCATGGGACATTATCCAACAGGAATTGCGTCTCAAAGGGACCTTTCCATGCAAAGAGATTAATTGAGTCCTTTCAGATCATGATGGTAACCCAGAGATATGACTGAATGGAATATTTTTCCATTCTGTGTTCTTGGAACACTCAATCTACCTCACCTAAGCACGACATTTATGCTCACAGTAGAGTGTCATAATATGTAATTCTTTCTTTAAGTGACCCACTTGCCAACCAACAGCCAGAAGAGTCTTTTAAAAACAAATCAGGTACATTGCTCCTCCACACAAGATTCCCCAGTGGCTTTTCAGTACATTTATAATGAAATCCCAACTCCTCACCAAGATCTACAAGGCTCTACATGACCCAGTCCTGAATACTTCTATGACTTCATTCCATGCCATTCTCTCCCTTTCTCACTATGATCCAACTTCATGGGCCTTCTTGTCAGTGAAGCCATTCTCACTTGAGAGGGATTTTCTTTGCTGTTTCCTCTTTGCATTTGCTGTTTCACTTTCCCCAGACATTCATATAGATGGTACTTTCTCATTCGGATCTCTGTTCAAATACCACTTTTTCACAAAGGCTTCCCTTAATAGCACTATCCAAAGTAAGGCTTCTTCCTGCACACATCTCTGTATATTCTCTATACAGTTAGCCTACTTTGTTTTCTTCATACATTTACTATCTGGATTTTTGTTGCTTCATTTATTTGCTCAGTAGTTGTCTCCCTTACTAGAATATAAGCTTCCTGGGGAAGAGACTTGTCTGTTTAGCCTATCCAAATTTTATCCACATGTCTGAAACACTGCCTGACACATGATAAGTTGGAAAAGAATTTGATGAGTAAATGGACCAGAAGATTAATTAACTAATAAATATTGGATATACATAAATAAGGCACAGTCTAATCCATCAAGGAATTTTTAGTTTGGGGAAGAAAACACAAACAGCTAATGATCCATCCATGTTACTTCTTTGTTTCTACCTTTCAAAAATTCCCCATCAACAGCGAGGTTTCTGAGCCTGGGCTCATGATTTTCACCAGACAGTGGAGACATTTAGAAAAATATATTAGGACACATGTTAAGTCTTTAATAAGTGAATGCAACCCAAGTGACAGTGTTCTCACTTTTGCTTCAGGGCTACATCTCCTTTTAAATTAGAGAACTTTCCTCTTGGCCACAATGTAACAAACCTAACTGCATTTATAGACTCTATCTCAGAGCTTTCTCCTCAGCTCTAGGCCCTCTAAATAGCTCCAAATAGCAACAATCACACAAGTCTGTAGACATTAGCTCCTAAAATCATTCTCCAGTGAAAGAAAATAGGACTGCTTGGAGAAATGGCTGATTCTGGGACTGGGGCAGGAAATGGACAAGATTAGCCTGGAGCATCTTATTATACCAGAATGTAAGCAGGTGTCAATCCAATTGCATGGAAGTACGTCAAAGGGACACAGGGCCAGTTGAAACAGCTCTCAGAGGCAAAAGGTAAAATAATTTGAGCCAAAAAAAAAAGTCATCTTGGATTATAACTCAAATTAAAATACCCACAGTTTCACGTCAGTATAAGTAAATGAATAGAATGAGTAAGTAAGTGGGAAGAGGAGACAATTCTCCAGTGCTGAAGAATTTTAATAATTTACGTAGACACTTCATCCTTGAGGCAGACTATTGCTTCCCCACGTGCAAATGTGGGCTGTGTACGGTAACACCCTTCAAAATAGCACAGTACAGAAAAGAGGGGAAAAAGTAAATTTACTCGGAAAACCTGACACATACTGCCTCCGCCAGGAGATCAAGGGCAACCTCAACGGTGATAATGCATGTTGGTATTTATTATCTATCCTTAAATGATGTCACGAAAGTGACACTTAACTTCTACGGTCTTCCTTCTAAGAACACATAACCCCAGCCCGATCACGAGGAAGATATTGGAAAAATGCGTTGAGAGAAATTCTACAAAATATCTGATCAGTGTTTTCCAAAACTGTCAAGGACATCAAAACAAAGGAAGTCTGAGCAACTGTCAGAGCCAAGAGGAGCCTATGGAAAGATGACTATCACCTATAATGTGGCATACTGAATGGGATGCTGGAAAGGACAAAGAACATCAGGTAAACACTAAGCAAATACAATACAGACTTCTTTTTTTGTTTAATGTTTATTTAATCCAGAGAGAGAGAGCACAAGCAGGGGAGAGGCAGAGAGAGAGAGACCCAGAATCTGAGCTGTCATCACAGAGCTCGAAATGGGGCTTGAGCTCACAAACTACAAAATCATGACCTGAGCCGAAGTCACAAGCTTAACTGACTGAGCCACTCAGAGTCCCCTAAAATACAGACCTCTGAATAAAATATAGACTTCAGTTAGTAATAATGTATCAACATTGGTTTTTCATTGTAAGAAATGTATTGTGCTAATGTAAGCTGTTGATAATAGAGGAAACTGGGTTCAAACATATAGGAAGGAACTTTCTATACCATCTTCACAATTTTTCTGTAAATTCAAATGTTCCTAAAAATTAAAGTTGATTTTTAAAAAGGGAGAGAATAATACCAATGTCCAACTAAAACGAAATTGAAAAAAATATAGATAAATTTTTAAAAAGAAGAAAGAAAATGAAAAGACAAGCTGTAGATGGGGAGAAAATACTTAGAAAATACATATCAAATAAAGAACTGGCATTCAGAATATGTAAAGCACTGTCAGGATTCAATAATAAGAAAAGAACCCAAATGGGGAGGAAAAACACATAAGATTCAAATGAATACTTCAAGTAAATAGCACATGGACGGCAAATAAGCACATAAAAATAAGCATCATTTTAAAAGGCAAATTAAAACCACAATTTAAAAAACCCACAATGACAAATCAGAACGCATTTATTAGAATGATATTAGGGGCGCCTGGGTAGCTCAGTCGGTTAAGTCACTGACTCTTTTTTTTTTGAAGTTTATTTTATTTACTTTGTGAGAGGGAGAGATCGAGTGAGCAGGGGAGGAGCAGAGAGAGAGGGAAAGAGAGAATCTCAAGCAAGGCAGGACTTCATCCCATGAACTGCAACATCATGACCTGAGCCAAAATCAAGGGTCAGAAGCTTAACCTGACTGAACCATCCAGAAGCCCCAGTGTCCAACTCTTGATTCTGGCTCAAGTCGTGACCTCAGAGTTCATGGGATTGAACACCATGTGGGGCTCTGTGGGAACAGCATGGAGCCTGCTTGGGATTCCCTCTTTCCTTCTCTCTCTCTCTCTCTGCCCCTCCCCGGCTTACAGGCACACACACTCTGTCTCAAAATAAATAAATAAGCTTAAAAAAAAAGAATCTTGCTAATATACATAAAATGATACTGATAATTGCCAAGACCCAGTCCCAGCAAGGATGTGGAGCAACTGGAAGTCTCCTACATTCCTGGTGGGAATGTAAACTGCTCCATCTGCTTTGAAAACAGTGTAGTAGTTTTTTATAACATTAAACACACATTTATGAAACAACACTTGTGAAATTCCACAGATTATATAAAAGGCAGACTCTGTCCTGTGTCAATGTATATTTCAAGGAAATTCTTCCAAACTTGCTTTGATAATTATAGGTTGCTTTACTAATTTAGACAGCTGGTTTATTCAATAAATAGCTATTCAATTTATATTATACACCAGGCACCACTGTAGAATCTCAAACATCTCAAACAAGACAGACAGTATCTTTTCTTTTATGTGGTTTACATTCTAATGGGTAAGAGCAGGGATAAATAGACAATAAACAAGTCAACAAAAATAATAAAATTTCACATAATAATGTGCTTTTATGTAATCAATAAATACAACAGCATGATGGTGGCCATAGGGGTTGTATAGTACTGGTCACCAAGAGGGACCGGCTCTGTCATTGGGGTGCAGACCAGAATAATGGAATAAAACAAATCAGATAACAAATGTTGGCAAGGTTGTAAAGAAACTAGAACCCTCTTACATTGCTGGTGAAAATGTAAAATAGCGCAGCCACCATGAAGAACAATTGTTCAAAATGCTAAACATAAAATTACCATATGACCCAGCGATTCAACTTCTGTGTACACAAGGAAATGAAACCCTGTCCACCCAAAGGCTTGTGTACAAATGTTCAGAGAAGCCCTGCTCATAAGGGCCAAAAAGTAAAAACAGCACAAACTTCTATCAACTGATGAACAGATAGACAAAATGTGGTATATCTATACAAGGGGATGCTCCTCAGCAACAAAAAAGAATGAAGTATTAATAATGCAGGGCGCGTGGGTGGCTCGGTTGGTTAAGCGTCCGACTTTGGCTCAGGTCATGATCTCACGGTTCGTGGGTTTGAGCCCTGTGTCGGGCTCTGTGCTGACAGCTAGCTTCAGATTCTGTATCTCCCTCTCTCTCTGCCCCTCCCCTGCTCACGTTGTCTTTCTCTCCCTCACACACACAAATAAATCAAAACACTTAAGAAAATAATAATAATGCATGCTGCAACATGGAAAAGCCTCAGAAACATACTAAGTGAGAGAAGCCAGCCACAAGAGACCATATACTTTATGAATCCATTTATGTAAAATGTCCAGAAGAATCAAACCTGCAGAGGCACAACTTAGATTATTGGTTGTCTAGGGCTGGAGGACAAGGCAGGTGATGGAAGTGACTGCCAAGGGGAACAAGATTTCTTTTGGACGCAACGGGAGTATTCTGAAGTTAGATCATGGGTGATGGCTGCACAATTCTGTAACTGTAATAAAAGCCATTATACTGTTCACTTGCACGTGAACTATATCTCAACGAAGTGCTAAATAAATAATAAGGCAATTATGCAAACACCTGAGGCAGAGCGTTTCCGGGGAGGGAGCTGCAAACACGGCCACGGTGAGCTGGGGATAAATTTGGCCTATTTAAGGAAGGGAGAGAAAGTGAGGCTGGAGCAAGTTGGGGAACGAGAAGCAAATAGAGACCAGGTCAGATAGAGTCTATGAAGCCATAGTGGGAGGCTTGGATTTTATTTTGAGTGTGATAAGAAGCCATCAGAGGGTTTGAAGTAGGATAGGGACAGGAGGGGATGCATATTATTAGTCTGGCTACTTTGGGGGTAACTGACTCAAGGAATATAAAGGAGAGCAGGAAGGTCAGCCCAGACCTGTTATGGTAGTTTGGGTAACACTCAGAAATGTAATAGATTTCTTTTTCCTTTCTTTTCCTTGTCTTTTCTTTCCGACACTTCTCTTCTTTTCATCATAAACAAAAAAACAAGGTCACTTTATATTTAACAGGCCAGTCCTCATGAGCGATCCCGGAAAAAGACACTAGCCAAAATATTTGACCCTCTGTTAACCTTTAGTTCCTCAAACAAGTTGTACGTCACTGGTCACAAGAGAAAAGCTATTAATAATGAAAAAATTTAGACTACTTTTATATAATTAGTCCTTATTAAAAAAAAAACTAGTATTCCAATTTAGTATCAAAACCTGCTTTTCACTCCAAACAGCACCGTCACAGTAAAACATAGGCCACTTCGTGTGGCTATGACAACTCTTTCCACACTGATTTCCTACCTTACAGCAGCCAAACGATTTCCCTACATCACAAACAAACTCCAGTTTTCAGGGTTATATTTGGAAAAGCAACAATAAGGCATCTGTAGAAAACAACACTCGCATTAGATTCCTCTTCTTGCCTAAGGGGTTATTTGCAGTGTAGAAGCTCAAGTGGGTGGCAAAGAATAGGCAGACTTTGTTAGACCATTACTCATGTAATGAGGTTTGAGATCTGCTATTCACCACAATTTTCAGTGGGCACTCTCCCCATCACTAAATTGCTGCCTACAGACATTTTGATTATCAAATATAATTTAAAAATAAAAGAACACAAAATACCCCTTCTTTTCTGCAGCCCCACCCCCACCTTTCGAGTTCTTCCATTTATCTCACAAAGGAGGTTTGCTCGGCAGAATACTATGCTCAACCTTGGAATGTCTGTCTCTCACCTGGGACTCCTCCAGCCCTCCTCCCATCCCGTGACAGGTCCCAAGGTATCTCTCCAGTTGACCCAGATATTTCTATGTCAAGAGCCAATCAACCTTGAAATTAGGAGTGATTTGACACCTTGTGTTTCAGGCAGCTCCGCACATCCGTACGCCACATGTCCATTTCTCCATAAAATCAAGCTACACCCACGCGCTGGTGATTATAACCATTTTAGAGCCTGTTTACGAGTTCTAAACCTGCCTCTGTTCCAGGGCAATTTTCCTGCAGTTTTCTCTCCCTTATCATCCTGCACATCTCCCTGTGAACTTTGTTTTACCCTAATCTCTGGATAACTTTTGTCTTATTACTTACTACTTGGATTCTAGAGAGATCAAGCAATGCTTTAAAGTAGACTCGTGAGGCACCCTCCTACACTGTTGGTGGGAATGTAAACTGGTACAGCCCCTCTGGAAAACAGTGTGGAGGTTCCTCAGGAAACTAACAATAGAACTCCCTTATGACCCAGCAATGGCACTGCTAGGAATTTACCCAAGGGATACAGAAATGCTGAGGCATAGGAGCACATGGACCCCAATGTTCATAGCAGCACTCTCCACAATAGCTAAAACATGGAAAGAGCCTAAGTGTCCATCAACAGATGAATGGATCAAGAAGATGTGGTTTATCTATACCATGGAATACTCCATGGCAATGAGAAACAATGAAATCTGGCCATGTGTAGCAACATGGATGGACATTGAGGGTGTTATGCTGAGCGAAATAAGTCAGGCAGAGAAGGACAAATATCATATGTTTGCACGTATAGGAGGATTAGGAGGAACTTGACGGAGGAACAAGGGGGAGAAGAAGGGCGGAAATGGTGGGGGAAAGGGAGAGAGGCAAACCATGAGAGACTCTTGAATGCTGACAAAAACTGAGGACTGATGGATGTGGGGGGGAGGGGGGATGGGCATGGAGGAGGGCACTTTGGGGATGAGCACTGAGTGTTATGTAGAAACTAATTTGACAATAAACTACTTGTAAAAAAAAAATAAATAAATAAATAAAGTAGACTCGTGAGCGCCTGGGTGGTTCAGTCAGTTAAGCATCTGACTTTGGCTCAGGTCATGACCTCACAGTTTGTGAGTTCGAGCCCTGCATCAGGCTCTGTGCTGACAGCCCAGCAGAGCTTAATTAAAGTAGACTCGTGAGAAACTGTAGAACTTCGGGCCCAGGCCCTGTGTATGAGCTGCTAGGAGACTCTCCTAGCACCCACCCTGTTGTATTGCACTGGTCACTCGTTGCCTTGTGCCATGATGAGAGCCTCCCAGGTCCACTGCTCTGAACCTGCTCTATCCCACTTCCCTACTCTTCACCACCACCACCCCATCACCAAACTGGGGCACATGGGGATGTCTGGCTGTCTTCAACATCATGCCTGGGCTGAGGGAAATCACACGACCCTGTCTCAGACCCTCTGTCCATCTAAGTCTACCGTGCTGGCATTTCTGTGGTTCCCACTCCATATAGCTGTGGGTCAACCAGAAGCTCAAAGGGGAAGCAAGCTATAAGTCCCCTGAACTCAGAGATTTCCAGACTCTGTCAGGGAATCTCAGAGATCTAACAGGGATCCAATCAGAAGTGCGGCACAAAACCACATGAAAACTAAATTATTTTTCCCTCTTATTTCTCTCCTAGCTTCTTCCACCCCTAACCCCACAAGAGATTTTGCACGGGTGTGATAGGAATGTTCTTTGTATCATAAACCCCACTCTTTCATGCTCCAAGGATTGATTCTCGATTTGTGAATATCTAGTTTGGGAATTTTCCAGAAAATTAATATTTTTCTCTTCTTTCCTAATGCCCTGTTTTTATGATTTTTATCTTGATGGGGACTTTAAAATGTTCACAGCTGAGCTGTGACTTTTTGTTCTAGGCAGTATCAGTCTCCTTTCCTGGGGCAAAAATTCTGACCATTGGCCAAGGATTAATGTAAAAAAAAAAAATAAAAACAAAAAACAAAAAACAAACAACAACAACAACAACAACAGCTGAGCTGTGACTTTTTGTTCTAGGCAGTATCAGTCTCCTTTCCTGGGGCAAAAATTCTGACCATTGGCCAAGGATTAATGTAAAAAAAAAAAATAAAAACAAAAAACAAAAAACAAACAACAACAACAACAACAACAAAAACCTCGGTGGTAAGGAGGAGGGAGATATACTTTAACAAGATGAGAAAGTACATTGTGTGATCTTTCAAAAAATCACACAATTGCAAACATGAACATTGCATTACAAATCATTTTCCAATACTGCTTATAGAGAGCAAGATGGAGTCACTCATGTCAAGCAGGGACCAGTGTCAAGCAATGATGCAAGCAGTTAAAGGTACTGTGGCTACCAGATATCACCGAGACCTGCACTAGTTGACAACACCCCAGAACTGATAACAAGCAGAAGCAGAGGCCCAAAGAGCTAAATCCCTTTTTAAAAAGGGAGGGTTTTTCCAGCAAGCTGTCAGACTCTTCAGACATAGTCCCCTCTACGTCTGACCACTTCAAAAAGGCAGCTACCACCGAAGGCTCTGACCAATGGATCTCTGAATGAACTGAGGTCTTTCCCTGCTTGTACATAATAAACAGTATGTGCCGAGAGCTGACCTCGACCAGACTGAGGCTTTATCTCAACTGCATCCCCACAGGCTGACTTTGTGTTTGGTTTTTTAACTTCCTACCTTCTGTGTTAATCTTGTTTGTTAGGTGACTTGTCTTGTGTTCTGCTTTGTGTGCTGTGTAAGAGGCCAAGTTAATCACATGGTGAAATGTCATTGAGTTTGGGATCCTGAACCTGCTTTATAATTATGTTAACCTTGCTTTATGGCTGAATAAAGCTGACATTGTAGAAAGACACAACTCACACGTGTGCCTTTTTAACGTGCTTGTGACACTGCTAATGCCTTCCATTGATACATAGTTAGCTTCTCATATATCCTTCTTATTAACAATGAAATATATATCTTTTTACATAGAACAGACAATTTGGGTAGGTTAAATTAATAAGAGTGGAATTTCATGACCAAAATATGAACATTTTTAAAACTTTAGATACATATAGCCAAAGTATCCCTTCTCCACATAGACTCACAAAAAATTACTCTTCCTCCATACTCTTTCCATGATAAGTCACTATTATTTATTTAACTCTGTCAATCTGATATGTGAGTTCCATTTGCATTTATCTGAATATTATGGAAATCAAACAGATTCACATATACTTTTGACTTTTTTTTCTTTTCTTCTTTTTCTCTGTTTTTAATAGCCTGTTCATGTTCCCTGTACATGTTTGGGAGTATGGAAATAAATGAAGAGCATTCAAATGAGAGCAAGCAAAGACTCTTCATTTCAGAGCCTCCTATAACAAGGGAGTAAGCCACCATCACTTGTGTTTGGCAGTGATTCAAGGGCAGCAGGGCGAAGTGGGAAAGCTTTATTGTGAAATAAAGGGAAGTCTTCAAGTATGCTTTGGGTGGGAGTTGTTGGCATGGTGAAGCTGGAAATGAATTAAGTACAAGTGAGCCATTCATATGATTGGTTTGAGGAACATACTTGACCTTCTCTAGTTGGCCTTAAGTTGGAGCTGGACAAAAATTAGGGCAAGTGACAGTAGTTACCAAATCACGGCCATTTGGGGCTGATTGCTACAAAGATTATGGGTCAGAGTTCTTTTTTCATATGTGGTCTAGCCATTGTCCATTTGTTTGGTCAGAATTTCAAGAGGGGAACATGTAATAACTCTTTTTCTCTTTGACATGTAAGAACTCTTTATAGATAAGGAGACTCATTCCTTGACATATGTGTTGCAAATTGATTCTGAATTCTGAATTTGTTGGAGAGTGTTTATATCAGTTTTAAAATATTATATAAAGAATTAATTTTCCTAGCCTCTGCTTTAGTTAGCTTGGAAAAAATTTTCACATTCAAATACTATAAACTATTTACCTGTATTTTCTTTAATACTTATACTATTTTTTAAATATATTTAGAATTCATGTTAGTGTAAGATGGGTGGTAAAGACTAGTTTTCCTTTTATCCAAACTGATAGGCAATTGCCTCAACAACATTTATTAACAAATCCATCCATTGACCATCGATGGATTCCCCCAATAGTTTTGGTTTGACGAGATTATAATATCTGCATGTGAATTTGTAACTAAAGTCTAAGCTTATGAAGCATCTCACAGAGCTTTTAAGAGTCTAATGTGGGGCAAGGAGTAAACTTAAAAGAAAACCTAGAACTAATTGCTGAGGTAGGAGTGTGCATCCCATCAATAAGAGTTTATCATGTGTTTACAGTTTGTGTCCCTTAAACATATCTGAAATGCACAAATCTTACATACAACTTTCAATGACTTTTGACAAAAAGTGAAACTCAAACTATCATCAAGATAACGAACATCATACATAATAATCTGAGAAGTTTCCTCCTATTCTTTCCCAGTGAGCCCTTCCGCCTCCTATGGGGACACTCATTTTTCTTATCTTTTCCCCCATCATACTTTAGTTTTGCCTGTTATTGACTACAATATACTCTGAAATGCACCACAAATAATATGTGTTGGGGCACCTGGGTGGCTCAGTCAATTGAGTGTATAACTTCAGCTCAGGTCATGATCCATGGTTCATGAGTTCGAGCCCTGCAGTGAGTTCACTCCTGTCAGTGTGGAATTCACTTCAGACACTGTCCTGCTCTCACTCTCTCTCTAAAAAATAAATAAAACATTTTAAAAAATAGCATGTGTTGATCAAAGGATAGAGGAATAAATCGATGGATAGCTATATGATAAAGCAAGTATAATAAAATGTTAATGATAAAATCTGGAAAGTAAGTATATGTATATTCCCTATAAAATGTTTCCAACTTTGTTTTGTTTGGAAATGCACATAATAAGATGTCAGAAAAGAAGAAAGAAAAGAAAAAAGACCAAAGAAAACCTAAAACACTTCTGCAAAAGACCAAAATTAGGTAAATATTGCACCTATCAAAAATATATATGAAGATATTAATCAATACAGTGTGGTGTTGGTACAGAGATAGAAAAACTGACCAGTGGAATAGAATAGAGAAATTAGAACCATATCACATGTATGCGGAAACTTCATTTATGATGGAAATAGCACTGGAGATCTATAGAGGAAGAATAACTTTTTCAAGAAATAGTACTTGCACAATTGATTATCCACATGGAAAAACAAAATAAGGCTCATTCCTGACAGCGTAATACCAGATGAATTAAATGGAGTTAAATGGGAAGGCAAAATTGTGTATGTTTTTGAAAATGTGGTTTACTGATGCTCAAGAATACATTTCCACTTTCCTCTGATGTGTATCCTTGCACTGCAGAAATCTTATTTTAAAAAGACTCTCCAACTCTCAGTAACTTAGGAACAGGATACAATTAGTTCTAGTCAATTAGGCACTTCCATGAGATTTAGAAATGGCAATGAGGCCAAGGCCACCTACCTGCTGCGTTAGGTTGCTTTTGGCTTTCAGGCAAGTCCAAGGAGAGTCCAGCAGGCAGCCTCGCCTGTGGAGGGACCGTTGTGATGGTAGCAGTGGCTGTATTCTGTTCCAGGCTTCAGTTACCAGCTTCAGAGCTGTCAGGAGACGTGGCTGACTCAGTGGTTGTGACAGATTTGTGATTATGGATTTTTGATTCTGGGTCATAGATTTTATTTTGATGAGAAATCCAGATTTCATCAGCATTAATTCTCTCTTTTAAACCACTTGGGTTAAAATACCTTGATTATACTTCCTGCATTCAACCCTGACTGGCAAAGCATACAATATTCGAAAATACCCTTACAGCCTTTAGGAAAGTATTTCTTAAACAGGACACATATCAATCAAGTTACAAATCAAAGTAGTTCACATTTGACTTCTGTTCAAAAAAAGACAATATCAATAGAGAAAACATCACAAAATGGTTGATGATATTTGCTACACATATCCTTGGTATAGATTAGAATCCAAACTAAATTTATAAAAAAAAACTAATATGAATCAATAATAAAAAGAGAGAGAAAGTTTAAAAATTGGCAAAATACATCAACAAGAGAAAGTGCAAATATTTTATCAGCATGTGAAATTATACTTAGTTGTACTGGGAAGCAACAAAATGCAAAATAAATCCATAAGACAAAATTTGAACTCATCACATTGGTAAACAAATATCATACAGTGATATTTGGATATGGAAAAACCATAATTCTAAAACACCACTAATAAGAATGTGTTCTGCTGTAGCCACTTTGAAAAAGAGTCTATAATTACCTGGAAGAGTCCAACAAGAGTCCTCCCACACAGATATTTCATTGCCAGGAGTATATTTTTGAGAAACTCTTGCACATATGAATCAAGAGGTATGAGTAAGAATGCTTATGGGAGCTTTGCTTCTATAGAAAAAAATCTGAAATAAACCAAACGTTCATCAGTAGTAGTATAGATGAATGAACCATAGAATATTCATTCAGTGGAATACTATACAACAGTGAAAAACAAGTAAATTATAGCTACTTGTTGCCTGTTTACTTTTGATCTATTCCTCATCCTACTGCAAACTACATTGTCTGGGGTCCTTTGCCAAATGACTTCTGGTTAGGTGTGCATCCTGTCCAATCAGATGTACAAGATGGAGGCTGGGGAGTTGGAGGGAGCAGAAATCTAGGGTATCTCTCCCTCTTTTTTCTCTGTTTTAATGGAGTTCCTCCATCATAGGCCACAGCTCTGCCATTTCCCACCAGACAATTCTTTTCTCTATGAATCCAGCTCTTGCCATGGTTCTAGGTCTCATCAGATGGCCTGGTGCTAAGCTCAGGACCACTTAAGTTCTTCTAGCCCCAGTGGTAGCAGGGTCTTTGTGCTGATGCTAACAGCTGGCTTGCTTCACCATTCTCTACTTCTCAGATCTTTGAACCTGCATGGAAACAATGCCCCTATCGCATTTCTTTTGTTTCATACCTAAAGTGGCATTTGTTTTTCTGATTCTTAACTGATACACACAATTATATACATCACAAGTAGATCTGAAAAAGCTTGCTTTTTAAAAAAAAGGGCGGGGGAAAGCAAATTGCAGCAGAATACCAACAATATCATTATAATTACGTAGGTTTCATAAGTATACAAAAGTAATATATTGGTTAGGGATATAAACATATGCTAAATTTATAAAGAAAAACTATGGGGAAATTTTAGGAGGGGAAGTGTTGTTTCTGAATCTTGTAAATTACCCATTAAAATAAGATAGGACAAGGGGTACCTGGGTGGCTCAGTCGGCTAAGCGTCTGACTTTGGCTCAGGTCATGATCTCACAGTTTGTGAGTTGAAGTCCCACATTGGGCTCTGTGCCGACAGCTCAGAGCCTGGAGCCTGCTTCAGGTTCTGTGCCTCCCTCTCTCTCCCCTCCCCTGCTTGTGCACTCTCTCTCTCTCTCTCCCTCTCTCAAAGACAAATAAATAAACTTTAAAAAAATACAAGACAAGGCAGCAGAATAACAACGCCAAAATCCGCTGACAACATCTACAAGAGAGCAAGTGACCAGGTATCTATCTGAGGAACCACACATATAATGAATGGATCTCAGAATCTACCACCTGAGACAAGGAAGAGAATATTTCACCACTGTCTCCCATCTTCCAGCGTTGCCCCAGGAGATATTAACGCATTGTTAAAACCACAATGCTTTCAGGCTTGCACAGGATCCAGAATGGCTGAGCAGTCCCCTGCAGATCCTCCACGTGCCAGTGGCAGAAAAGCCCAGGGCAAAAAGCAAGAGACACACCAGTGCAGCTGAGCAGGGGGCTGTTAACAAGGGTCAGAGCAAAATGGTGGGCGGGCTGGAGTCAAAGACAC